TTAAATAAAAATAAATGTGAAGTTATGAATTTGGTGCTACTTATACCTGCATATTTCTAACACACATGAAAATAAGTATATAACTACTAGTGCCCTGGTGCATGGATCCGTGCACATTGAAAAGAAATTAATTAGAAGGTGGCCGGCTGGGCGGGACTGGGTTAGAGGGGCGGGACACATCCTAGAGCCAACCTCCCGCAGTCCCTCCCCAGCTGGCCTCACCTGGGGCGGTGCCATGGCTTGAAGGGTGTCTGCCTAGTGAGCAGGGGTATCTCCGGCAGGTGGGGTCCCTCGGCCTGGCCTGCGGGGATCGGGCTGAAACCAGCTCTCTGACATCCTCTGAACAGTCCCAGATTGTGAGAGAGCAGTTCTCAGGTGATGCACCCTGGAATTGGGCTCCCTCCTCTCTGGTTCTGGGGTGCGTCACCCAAGAACCGCTGCTGCCAAGTCACCACAGCTCTGCAGCTCCTGCATTGAGCATCTGCCCCCTGGTGGTCAGTGTGTGTCATACCTACCAGCCGATTGGCTGGTTGGCTGGTCGCTTAGCCTTTTATATATATACATTAGGAAACATTGATTAGACATAGCTATAAATTATCCTGAATTATTTCTTATGAGATTTCTAAGATATTGCAATGCCCTCTACTCTGTGAGATATTAATTCTCTGCTCATTTTTATTTGGTTATAATTATTTCACAAATTTTGTTTCTCAGAAAGCGTACCTGATACTATATTTGGAGTCTTGACATTTCTCTTTTGTTCTCAGTCTGGCCGGCTGCAAAATTTTATTATAATTCTAAATCTATAAGATTATTTATACATTATCTTCTAATTTTTAATATTGCAAATGAGAACTCCAGTGCTAGTCTGAATCTCCTTATAGGATTCTAACACCATTTGAAATGCAGAAATCTTACCTTTATGCCCTGGGTTGGATTTTTTTTTACAACAATTCTGCCCAGGATTATTTATAATCTATAGGTAATACTCTTTCAGCTCAGGAAATTTTCTTTCATTATTATTTTTAATTGTTTTCTTACATTCATTCTTTTTTCCTATTCTATGGCTCCTGTTATATATAAATATCAGGACATTATATATACCACCCTCTTTTTTTATCTCATGAATCTATTATTCGGTCTGTGTTCTGAGAAGATCATATTAATTCTTTTAAAAAATATATTTTATTGATTTTTTACAGAGAGGAAGGGAGAGGGATAGAGAGTTAGAAACATCGATGATAGAGAAACATCGATCAGCTGCCTCCTGCACACTCCCTACTGGGTATGTGCCTGCAACCAGGGTACATGCCCTTGACCGGAATCGAACCTGGGACCCTTGAGTCCGCAGACCGATGCTCTATCCACTGAGCCAAACCGGTCAGGGTGATCATATTAATTCTTATGAGTTTACCTGATAACTCACTAAATCAGTTTTTGCGAATATATATGCTGCAATTCTACTTTATTTTGAGATGCATAAAATCACATATTTTATTTTCAAGAATTGTTTCTTGTTCTCCTCAAATTCCAGGTCATGCTTCTTTTGCCCTCTGACATTTCACCAAAATACAAATTTGAACTTTTGAAAAGTTAGCTCCTGTTTTCTGCAATAATTCTTTTTAATACAAGCCATTTGCTCTGATTGATCTGCTAGTTCCCTTCTTGAGATTGCTTAATCTCCTCAGATGACTGAGGAGGTTTGGCAAATCAAATATTTGTTGATATTTATAAATATGGAAGTTTATACTGAAAAGGATTAATAGCTCTTTGGAGTGCTGTCAGCAATTGCATAAGTCACCACAAGCTTCCCACAGCGTATCTTTGCCTGCAGTCCCTGCTGAGACAGTCATGTGGGTCGCAGATATGATCCCATCTCTCACCTTTTAAAATCGTCCCAGGTGCCACACCAGTTGCAGAGTAAAATCCAAACACCTTCTCCTAGAGTTCAAGGCCAGTGTGCTCCCACCTCTGTGTATCATTCCATCCCCAAACCCCACACTCAGCCCTTTCCTGCTGCTGTATGTGCTTGATCCTTTTCCTTTCTTTTTAAACAAAAAATATATTTTATTAAATTTTTACAGAGAGGAAGGGAGAGGGATAGAGAGTTAGAAACATCGATGAGAGAGAAACATCGATCAGCTCCTCCTGCAC